CATTGTTCATTTACATAACAAAAAAGGGTCAAGATGTAACTGGTTACATTAGAGAGGATCTTAATTAGTTTTACTGTATGAAAGAAGAAATCTCTAGTTTTTTCTCCTCCTGACAGGTTGATACTAAACACTGCAAAAAAAATTAATCCTTATCCTGGATGTTTGAATAATTGGTTATCTCCCAAGAAATTTCAGATTTTTTTTTAATCACAACACATTATATATGACAACATAACACATGCACCAAAAGGATGGACAAATTAAAATGTTGAGGTTTCTTTATTTAATTTTTATTAGAACGTTTTTATTAGCATAAAATAGCAGTTTCCAACATCTGAATACCTACGGGTAATTGACTAAATTACTCCAACTAAGCTTAGTGGCAAGTCAAGGATACCTCACCAGAACACACGACTGCTAAACCTTTTTATTTCTCTTAAAATGCTCTGCCACCTAATGGTGCACAAGAAAAACAGACACAAACATCTATGATGGTGTTTCTGCTTTGTTTTCAATGTAAACCTTTATTACTATCACAACACAGTTCGTCATACAAAGGCACATGTGGTGAGCTCTTCTTCATAGCAAATTAATTGCATAATACAAACATAAACTAATGTGCAGACAAAGTTAAATAGATATATTCGATCTGCATTAACATATATACATATTGTGACAGTGATTTAATTATCATACACCAAAATTCATAGTTTTCATGCCTCTGGACTGATATCAGAAGAGAGACTTTCTTTTCCTGCAAAAGATTAAAAACATAATTTCAAGCTTATCCAGGCAGATAAGTAATTGTCTTGAGCACTGGGATGTGCATGATTATCAAAAGAATACATTTTCCAAATTAGGCCAAGATAGTCTCCCTCGAATCAATTGCAAAAGCTCTGCATAGACTGTTTAATGTAATACTTTAAAAGATTTGCATAGATTATCAATCATAATAATAAAAAAAAATCCACTTCCCGAAAATTAATAAAGAATGAATTAGGCTGTAATAGTACTTGTCTTATTGCGTTTAAATGTGTGTGTGTGTGTGTGTGTAATGTCAAGAACAGGAAATTAAAGCAATGTTTGAAGCCGGTGTCTTTGTCGTGTCTCACCCAAAGATGTGTCGTTATGTCGAAGTAGGTGAGTGTGATGACGCTAACGGGCATGTCTGGAGGCATGCTGGGTAGAATATTTTCATAGTGCGTTATTTTCTGTATACAAGCCTGCTGATCAAAGACATCCCTGCCATCAGGGTTATTAAACATGAGTCTACATTTGTTTAAATTCTCTTTTATGGATGCACAGCAACATCAGTGTAAAGACTACAAATAAGATACAATCCATTATTGATACTGAACACACATGCACAAATTCTGTATTGCATATGAACAATTGGAATGTAGGCTCTTTAAAACATAAAAATTAAAACATTTATATTGATATTTAAAAGAATGCAAAAAAAAAAAAATAATGTTAGCCCCAAAAACATCTAACAAAACAAAAAAAAAATCATTAGAGATGATAAAAGCTCTGCTCGAGAAAAAAAGAGACAGAACAGTTGCATAGAGTATAAAGACGACAGCTCACTCCTTCACCATTGTGTCAGTCGACACACGGAGCCGTCCAATCGCAGTGCAGTAATATTCACTGCTGTCGTGGGTCTCACATTCATGCGTCTTTTGAGTCCTGGCAACTAGAACCAAACAGATTCTGAACAAAAACGTGGGCTACAAATGAAATCAAAACAATGTTAATAAGGAGCCTATATGTTAGTTGAACATACGTAGTGCTTTATGTCTATGTAATGTTGTTTACAGCAAGAAAATAATCACAACCTCCAATGAAGCAATTAAAAAAATATACAAGTCAGCGCATCTTACAAAGCTGCTGATAATGTGTCAAAGCTTTACGACTCCCACAGTCGCAGTCCGTGAAACGCTCACACTCGGTTTGACTGTTGGGTAAAAGGACGCAGTGTTCTGCAGCCATGGCAAGAATCCCCATCAAGTCGTGTTTGTTCTTGTTTGCTTCATCTGAATGGCAGCAAGCAGTTGGCAGAAGAGGCATCCTGCTGTCCCTGCTCCGTGTGCTCTGTCCATTCTGCATCGATGTTTATCTGCAAAAGAAAAGAAAAAAAAAAGACATTGGGATGCAGCTTCCATTCGTCTGTGCAAGTCAAAGCATGCAGCGAGGACAGTCGTGTAAATATCCAAACAATTATTTGAGAAATGCACAGCAGATTCCAAAGGAAACATCACTTATGGGGATAATTATTGTACGACCTAAATCTTGGACGAAGCGCGTATAGATCCATGCACCAGAGGGGATTGAGGCTGAAGTTGAAAGGCCTTAGAAGGAGCCTGGTACGCTACAAGCTGCTAATACAAAGAGGAAGCATGTGACACGCACCCTGAGCTAAGCTGTCTTGGACTTCAGAAGGCTCTCAAACCCACTTTTTAGAACATTTTCATGCAGCTCAGACAAGCACCTTAAAATATTACAGCAGTTCACCAAGTTCAGGATAAAGCAACAACACTGCCACTCAGCTTAGTTGCAGAAATCAATAATCACCATCGCTGATCACCTGAGCTATTAGAAAAGCATCACATTAGCTTCGTTTAGCATTGTGGCTCTGCTCTGACCACAGGGTGGGGGGGGATGAGGGGGACTACTGGCTGGCAGTGGAGGTTGGCGGCATAAAAGGTAGTTTGGGGTATTGGTGTCGCTTTGAGTTATTGGCATCATGGCCTTGTTTTGTTGAAGGGACTACAGTGAATACGCTTGTTAATGGTAAATTTACAGCCCCAGCATGTGGCCTAATAAAAACCAGAGGACAGAGAGGATGACGAGAATGACTGCCACGGCTGTGTGCTCTGGAGTGTTTGTGGGATGAGGATGAGGAGGGGTGGTTGGGAAAAAGAGGGGAGAAAAGTGGAAGGCGCCAGTAATTAGGAGTCTAAAGGAGTGTGAGAGAGGCGCACACCCCTCAAAGCAAACTTTGTGTCTAGATTTCTCACTTTTTGTCTGCGCACCTCGACTGAAACCCCCGTCCTTCTTCACTCTCGCTGGCTCTTTACTTGTCTCCCTTTTGCCGAATGAATAGCTATCACAGTGCCATGGTGTCCCATCGAGCAGCACCCCCCACCCTGCATCCTCCTGCCTTTTCTCTACACTCCCCCCTTCCAGCGTGACTTTGAATAGAGAGCTGAATTGAGCAAACAGTCAGGCTGTCAACTCAATAGGAGGTCTGGCCATGAACTTGAAGTCCTTCCCAGGACCCGAGCCTCACATCAGGGTGGGAGGGGATGGGGCTGTGTGGGGAGACAAGAGGAAGGAGAGGATGGTGGTGATGGGGGGGTTGCAGACAGACTTTTTTTGTGGGGGGGAGGCTTACGTGCCAGCATTGAGAGGACTCCTGACATGGAGTTTCCCAGCGCTGGTGCTCTTGCTTGAGCAATGGGGGCAGGGTGCACCAGCTGCCTGCACACCCTCCCCTCCTTTAGCAGCACTCAGTCTGGGCAGGAGGGGTACTGATGGTGGGGTTTGTGCAGACAGAACAGTGTCTGCACCCCTGCCAAAGCTCCCCCAGGCCCTCTCACACACACACACACACACACACACACACACATCCTCACGTATCCAGACACAAGCTGCTGGCTGTGCCCAGCCCCTCTCCTCAATCAGCTCGCAGCCCTCCCAGGCTTCTCATCATCTCATTAGCTAACGCCAGCCACTCCACTGTCTACTGTTTGCATTGTTTTGAGCTCTGCATAATTTACACAGTAAATTGAGGAGTGTTCCTGCCCCTTTTGCTCAATCTACCACCTGTTTCTGGAGGCCCAGCAGTGATTAGTGCGCTCTTGGTTTGATACAGTTACCCCAGAACTTAGCAAAGCCAAAGGACGCCTGCACTTTTAAAAACTGCTTTATCAATACTGTAATTCAAATGCAAAATGTGTATATGTAACCGTAACTACTCAAAAATTATATTAAATTTGTAAGAAAAAAACTTTTTGAACATGCAGGAGAATAAAACTTGAATGAAAAGTTGTTTTTCTGCCCAGATATGTTTATTTTCATCTTGACCCAACATTGACTCGCCCCAGTCTTTCTTAAACCCTATGGGCTTGCACCTCACTGTAATTTAGCGTCTCTGTGACCTTCACATCACAAACAAAAGTAGAGAGCGGTCCCACTGTAACCAGCACAATAACGGACATTGTTAAATTGCTCTTTCATACTAAATCAAGCCCAGCTGACATGAAATGGTGTTTCGGTTTAAGCGGTTTAGTAAAGTTCAGAGCTGACGTGTTAAAATAATGCTGCAATATAACAAGTTTGCTCAGGGGGAACAATGCTCAACTTGTCTGCGTATCGACTGCACTCCAACTCAGTGCTCATCACTAGCTTCAAGAGGTTTGCCAGTACTCTCTGCCTATCAAGCTCTAAACTTTTCCCCTTCTCCCCTTTGTTATTTCTCTCTGTCTGTCATTTTCCTGCTTTGTACAAGCTTTGTGTGCTGCAGTGTCCTTGTATTTAAATGTGAATAGTGATGGTACCTTCTGTTTTGACTGAGATGTTGGCATATATTTTGAATTGAAAGCTAAACAGATTTTTTTATAATTAACATGAAAGTTGTAACCATTGCAACACAAAGCAAAATTATTAATGTATCTCTGAATAAAACACGTATTTTTATGCTGCCTGACTGTATGGAGTTATGCATTGTACCTTTTATATGATCTATAAGGCATATTGTGTCCCCAAAATGGCAGCCACCGTCGCCATGTCAGTGTACGCATATGAGGATGGCATGACAATTCCCAAACGAGAAAGGAAACCTGCCTTTTCAAGGACAGATGCCCACTGAAAGCCTCCTGAGAGAGGCATTGAGAGTGGAGTGATTTACCACACATACAAAACACGCTCCACCCACATCAACTCGCCCTCCCTGCCCTCAAATCAGCGCATCT